CTCAGTTTCTTTTATGTTCTACGTGGTTTATTTCTAGATAATTTTCAAATTGTGTCACATGTCCGTACACAAACACACACATATACACATACATGCATGCATGCATGCACACTAATTCATTCATTCATTCATTCATTCGTGCATTCATTCATTTTTCATTCACTTATGTTTTTTATTCATTTATTTTTCCCATTTCCTGTCCAGCTAAGACAGGTCTTCCATGTTTTTCTCATATGTGAGCAGTGTAGCACCAGCTATAATGCCACACATAATGGACACGGAGCCATAAATGAAATAGTAAAGGGGGAGAGTAAAGGGTGGGGGCAGTCACAAAAATAAACAATAAAGATGGGCAAGAATCTGCCTCTAGAGCTGCAGAAAAAGAGAGGTAAAAAATGGTGCGCACACACACACACACACACACACACACACACACACACACACTCACCTACAAATACGACAGAGCCAAAATATCACTGTGCCAACCACATGAGGATGTAAAAGTGAAACAATTTTTGCTGAAAAGCACACAGCAATAATTCATAGTGCATTTAGTACCAGCCACAGCCTTAAGTTTATGTGTCAAAAATGCCCAAGTCCATACTTATGACAGCACCGTGTGAGCACCTGTGTGCATACACACACTTGAGTCTCCAAAGTTTCTTTAGAGAAGTGTTCAATAGTGAGTATGAGAGACCACAGACTTGCCCCCAAAGACCCGCAGAAGATGGAGGGGTTCCAAGCCCCAGAGATTAAGAGGTCTCTCTTGGAGCGCAGAGACCACAGGGAGACTGCCACCGGAGAAGCCCCAACTCCCCTCCCGAGAGACACAGAGGCTGACCCTGGGAGACCAACCAGCAGCTGTGCCAGAAGCCCAGGATATAGGATGGAGCTTGCCACGCCAGGGCAGACCGAGCTAAAAACACAGTGGCCCGGGACCCAAAGGTGTCCATCCCCGCAAGGCTGGATTATAACACGGGCAAACTGGGCACAGGCCCAGGGGCCAAAAGCCACGAGGGGGCCCACACGAGCAGCAGTGTTTTTTTTTTTTTTTTGTGCAGCAGTCTTAATGTTGGAGAAAAAAGTTGACAACGAATTAAAATTGCGCCCACATTCTCAAAGTTAAACACATCTCTTCTAACAACGGTAGTTTCTGCATCTTTACTGTTCCCCTGCTTCAGCCCTCTCCCCCCTCCCCCTGCACAGCAGCCGCAAACTCACTGATGCGCATGCAGCCTCTCAGAGTTCCTGCTGCTCTAAACATTAAAATAATTATTTCATGTTCTGTTCCTCACATCTGATTACCTTCAATGGTGTCTGTTTGTTGCAACCACCAGGTACAAAAACAAACTTGTTTTTATTTGAGTATCTTTTCTGTCCTGTCTCTGTCTATTATTTTCCTGCATCTCCTCTCAATCCTAAAGAAAAACTGCTACCTGGCTTCATATATTTTCACCTTATGAGTTACCTTTGAACTGCAGTTCTAAAAGATCTACCGACCACAAAAACAGCGGAGTGCGTGCTGTGCGCCGGCCGCACCGGTGAGGTGAAGCCAGCGGAGGACAAACCAGGTGATGCGCTCTGCTCCATAGCAGCGAAACGCATCAGGCATGAATAAAAGACAGAAAGCATAAAAGGATATGAGCCGACATGAGCGATCGTGTGTTAAATTTGTTTTTGAGGTGGCGACACTTTAAGAATGTTACTGTGGCCGTGCTCAGGACGCATCTGTCTGGATTGCGTCAATGATCAGAGTGCGCGCCTCTCAGCTCAAAATAATCCCCACACAGTCCACATAGATAATGTGATATTAGTAGAACCAGGATCATTTTCGGGCTAAAAAAAACTGTCCACGGTCCATTTTCCCTAATGTGTTTGTGGCCCTGTGGATTTTTCTAACTCTACCAGTTACAAATTGTGAAGGGGAAAATCTTGATTGATTGTTCATTCTTTCATAATATTTTCTCTGTACTCTCCGAACACTTGGACTGTCCACTTATACTTGGAGGTGATTTTAATTTTTGGATGGACACTTTAACAGACAGGCACAGTACAGCTGGGACTCAGCGCAATTGGCAATCCACTAATATAGTTAAACAGAACATGAGTGATTATGGGCTTTGTGATGCATGGCAATCTCTTCATCCTAACCATAGAGGGTATACTTTTTTCTCACATGTCCATCACTCTCATTCACATTTGGATTATTTTCTAGTCAGCAGCTCATTGTTGGCTGACATTTCAGACACTGAGATACACCCCATTGTTGGTCCCGGGAATATAGTTTATGATCCTGAAAGAATAAACAACACTTTCAAAAACTGTTACCAAACTTTGTACTCACCACAGATAAACCCATCAGATGACGAGATCAATGAGTTCCTTGACAGGATAACACTTCCTAAATTATCAGACAGCCAAGCTACAATCCTGGACTCACCACTAACATCAGCGGAGCTCCAGGAAGCCCTTAAATCCATGCCTAATAGGAAGGCTCCAGGTCCAGATGGGTTTCCAGCAAAGTTCTAAAAAGAATTCTGGATCATTCTGGCTCCAACATTTTTCAGAATGGTGAGGGAAATCTAAGAGAGCGGCAGATTACAGCCGAACATGAATTCAGCCAATATGAGTCTCTTGTTAAAACCAGGCAAAGACCCTGCATTTCCTACCAGCCATTGCCCAATTTCTCTTATTAATGTTGATCTCAAAATAATTTGTAAAGCCCTGGCAAAAAGATTAGAGAAGGTAACCACTTTCATAATACACCCTGACCAAACTGGTTTCATTAAGGGTATACAGTCAACCACAAACTCACGTAGATTACTTAAATTGATAGATTTCTATTACAGTAGAAACATAGAAACTAGTATATTATCTCTAGATGCAAAAAAAGGCTTTTGATAAAGTTAACTGGAAGTCCTTATTTGCTACTTTACATAAATGTGATTTTGGGAACTTCTTCATAAACTGCTACAAACATTATACAACTCACCAACAACACGTGTCAGGACGAATGACCAAATATCAGCTAGCTTCTGTCTTCAGAGGGGGACCAGGCAGGGATGCCCACTCTCCCCCTCACTGTTTGCTATCTGTATCGAACATAGACTGTACATACTGGACAAACGGATTCCATTGGCTTCAATAACACGTTTGTTGTCTATAATGGGAGGTGGCCACCACCGCCATTTTGACCGTGTCACAGGTTCCGTCCAGCCCAGACAATTCCATAAAAGGGAAGAGAGGAGGCACTGAGGGTGTGGCTGTAAGGCTGGGCTCGAGTGACGACACCCAGGCGAACTAGCTACGAGCTAACCTGAAGCTAACCCTGGCTAACCCAAAGCTAAAGCGGAGGTGGGAGCCGAGCTAACGGATGTAGCCACCTAGCTTCAACCCAACCGGAGCTAACTGGAACACCCATCGACCTGAACCTCAGACGGAGTTTCGGTGGAGGTTTTCTGCGCCTGTTCGTGAGAAGTACCTGTATTAAAAAAGTTTTAAATCGGTAAGTTTATAATTTATTTCCGTAATGAATACATTTTCTTTGAGCAAGTTTTCAGTACAGTTTTTTTCGGCGCTATCACTCCTGAGTCGCACCAGCCATTAAATGTATCATGAAGAAGAGAAAATATATTTAAGTCGTATTTTGGGGGGACATTTTATTATCTTTCTTACAAAATCTGAGACCAAGCGTTTCACATTGCAACACAAGCACCGGTAACCATAACAGAATGAACAACAGCCAGCAGAGGAGAGGATGGCGGTGTTTCAAACCCTCCCGGCCGGCGAGGACAGCTCATTCCTGGGCTGGAGCCGGCCCTCAGCACCCCGCCACAGGCTCTAACAGATGCGGGCGGTGTTTGAAACCCTCCCAGCGGGACAGGGGAACTCATTCTTGTGTGGGTCGGAGTCGGCCCGCAGCAGCGCGGTGTAGCCTACATATTTTGTTATATAAGTCGCTCTGGAGTATAAGTAGCAGGACCAGCCAGAATATGTAAAAAAGTGCGAGTTATAGTCCGGAAAATATGGCAGTTATTAGTATTCGAGCTAAATTAGCAGCGTAAATACATTTCATATGTTTCCAAAATGTAATACTTGTTTGTATCTTGTACAGCCAACTAGTCTTTATTCTGGACTCAGTACAATTTACCAAAAGTAAAGAGACATTCTACAGATGAAGTAAGCACAAGATAACTTACTGGAAGACACGGGATTATCATGAGAACCAGAACAAGAGAGCCTGATAACAGTCATGTGAAAATAACAGTTAAAAAGTATGTATGTATAATAGAAATAAAAATATATTAGAATTAGTGTAATTCACTGTGATCCAAACAATAAATCAGCCATAGCTGATTAGTAAATATGACATGAGGTCTTGGAGTTTTTAATTTTCATTTTTTTCTTAGATCTGTTTAAATGTCACCATGGCAGCCTGTGTGTCTCCAACATCAGCTACACAAAGCAGCAAGTGTAAGTTCCACATACCTGTCTCACCACTTCATGTATGGTTTTTTACTTTAAACAATTATGACAAACCTGTTATTTTTTCTCCATAGCCATTTGGATCATTGGAGACAGCTATGTGAGGCGGGGTGCCCAGAGAGCTGCAGAGACAACCTTGGCCTCCCTGACGTCTGTGTCTCCTGGTTCGGTTGGGGCGGACCATCGACATACATACATGTGCCGACACTTTGCGCCCTGTTTTATAAAATGTAGTGTTAAAAATAAATGTTTTTGCTCAATTACTGGAATTTCTTTGGTTAAGACAAAAGTGAGGAATAATCATTTACAAGTTATTTGTACAACAGGCCCATTTTAAATCCCAACAGTTTCTTAGCAGACAATAGAAATGTGTTCTTTACTAACTTTACTTGGTTTAAAACTCTTACTAAAATAGTGCCGTATTGCAAAACCCAATCATACTTGTTATGTAAACATTAGCTTTGTAGATATTTTTTACAGATATATATTTGTGTGCAACAAATCCAAACTTAAATAATTTGTCATTCTTTATTGAAAAACAACAAAATACAGTTATACAGAAGTGTGGGAAAATGATAATGTGAAATTATTGCTATTTAAATGTAATCCTATTTATCTTTAAAAAGAAAAACTCTAAAAATGTCCTGTACAGCATCATGACAGAAGAATGGTGGTCTGTCTGTCAGAATGTGCTGAACAGATTTGCTCTTTGAAGAGGAGTGTCATGTTTGGAGGAAGGTACTTAACCCAAGACATGCAGAATACAACACTGACCAAAAACTGATGGAAAAAATGATTTATTTATAAGGAGGAACTTAAGGTGCACAGATAAGTCTGTGGTTGGAAATGCAACAACAGCTCAGCGTCTGGAGGAGGGAGAACACAGGTGAGCTTAGGTTCTGGTTTCAAAATCCATTGTAGGCAGGCAGAGGTGTTCAGCAGACTTACTGTGGTGGGTGTAGGGAGCAGAGGTGGAGAGAAGCGGGGCGTCCTGGTGGATGGGGCACTGGGTGAGATGAGAGGTGGGTTATGGAGGCTGGTGATAAGGTCCGTGTGTTGAATATCCAAATCCTGGAGTAGAGGTCAGTATCCAATTAGGTCGACAGGAATCCTGAAGAATGGTAAATCCAATATAAGAGCAAAAACACTACGAAATAACATTAATCCTAGGAACACTAGAGGTAACACGAGTGGCTGGTTACTACCAAAACTGAGGCAATCTTCTGGCGTCAAATTGTGTCCTCCATCCACCTTAAATAGGAAAGCACCCCGCTGATTGCTGATCAGGAACGGCTGGGGTGGAGTCACCAGAACCATGAAGAACGTGTCTCCAGAGACAACCTGGGTCCTGGTACCAATCAGGAAGCGGACCTTATCACCCAGAGCTGCCAGGTCACGCTCAAAGCCTTCATGTTCACGCTGCAGAGCCTGAACGCTGGCCAGGTCGTGGCCGTAGTTGTCTGTGTTCAGGGCCTGGTTCTTCTCCTCGATCCACTCTTTGGTCTCATCAGCGTCTCTGAGAAGACATCAGAACTCCGTCTGAGTGTGGGTCCAAACTCTACTGACCCGTAAGCGGCGCATAAGTGTGCGGGGTACCTGTGGAAGCGCTGCACCTCATGGGCGCTGCCCAGCATGTTGCTCCGGTCTTCAGCCAGCTGTTGCAGCGAGCGCCAGCAGTTGTTCAGCTCCTGGAGAGAAACCAAACCCAGTGAGATGAAGGTGGACGCCAGCGGGCTGGACGCCGGACAAGGAAACCTGGAGACGGATCGCTCAGACAGGAAGGGAAGAGCTTCCTCTTACCTTGATGGAATTAAAGTTAGCCGTCGTCTGAACGCCCAACCGTACGGTCTGAGGTCAAAGGTCACAGGAAACACACACCAGTCAGCAGTCATACAGATGCATAAAGATAACTGTAGCCATGGCAACCAGCTGACATGTCCCCACTTTCACCAGCACCTGGTGCCTGCCGGGTCACCTGAATTCCTGTGTGATGTCAGCACGGTCGGCCGTGACTGCGGCCATCAGAGGTGACCTCTGATCAGCTGAATGAACTCACCTTCCAGGGTGACGCCGTGTTACCCCGGGTTTCCACGGGAGCCGTCAGCAGCACGTTACTGCAGCAGCACGTCTTGCTCGCGTAAGCTGCTGCTTGGCCCTTCCCACGAGACGCGAAGCAGCAGGGGAGCAGCTGTCACCGACCGAGCACGAAGTCACACGAGTGACTTCGTCAGTAAACACAACAACAAGAAGGAGAAAACTACAACATGGTTTGTGTTTTATGTTCTGTCCGTTTTATAATCGCCAATACGGACCTGAAAAACAAAGGAGACCGCTAGCTAGGTGATAACTTCTCACGAGGCCGCACAGTTAGTAACTGTTTTTAAAAGTAAAGCAACCGGAAGGCAGTACGTTCTTTATTCTGAAAATCTCGGTAGCTTCTCTCAATTTCCGCGTCCGATTTCCTGTCTTTCCTTCCCCAAAAATGTCGAACTTGACCCGTTTCAGAGGCGTCGCGCGTAGAAAATTGAACCGGCGCGTAAAGGCCGCGACATGCTGCTCCTGAGACGCGGCCGACTCGCGCTGCTGACGGCTCCGGTGGAAAAGGTTCTGTTGACCACAGCGGTTCCTATCAGCAGCTATGACGTGCTGCTGCAGTAACGTGCTGCTGACGGCTCCCGTGGAAAGCCGGGGTTAGAGTCGGCTTCATCCTGTAAACAAACAAATGAGTGGTAACAAAAACACCACGTCTGGTTCTGGTGGAGGCGGAGGACAACACGCACCTTTCCAGGAGCAGAACCCAGATGTTCTTGTTGCTACAAACAGAGACGAGCAGAGTTAACAAACCAGGAAGTGAGAGGGACCAGCTGCTGCAGACAGGTGACAGGTGACACCTGAGCCTGAACCATAGGAGCCTCCTCAGCCATCAGACCTTCTGACTCCAGTTCAGATGCCACCTTGTTGATGTCCCTCAGGCGGGACTCGTTGGCCTTCAGGTCCTGCAGGACAAAAGCACCTGCTGATTATCACCTGAGCTGATCTGACAGCTGCTGCTGGAAGACGGAGAGGAGGAAAAGTCCGACCTTCTGGAAGTCGTCAAACTTCTTCTGCAAGACCTCGACCTGCTCCAGGTCCGACCCGTCTCTCCATCCTCATTCAGCTAAAGACGCGAGTTCAAGTAAAACAACCTAAAGTCACACAAACACAAAGCAGGTGTGGAGATGTTCGCTCTGAGCTGGAGGTCGTTCCTCGGCTGTGAAGGGCACACGAACCTTGTTGGTGCTGTTGAGCAGCGTGAGGATGTCGCCCTTCTTCATGGTGACCTCTCCAGGACTCTTCTCCTGGTAGTCGTACAGAGCCAGAACCAGCTCCTTCCCGGTCTCATCGTCAGTTGGAGCCACTTGTTGCTATCGGGTTAACAGGTCTGGTGTTAGAACGTGGTGGATAAGAATGTTCTGACGGGCCGAGGGTTCTGAACCAGCGAAGTGACCTGGACCCAAACAAAGTGAGCCAGAACCTGCAGACACCTCAGAAACATGTCAGGACCAGACCTGCTCTACCTTCCTCCATTATGGTCTCTCCTTTCTGGGTGAAAGCCTTGATGCGAGGTTCATGACATGTGATCTCAGCCTGCAGAGCCTGGTGCTTCTTCAGCAGGTTCTGGACACCAATCAGGTCCTTCCCTGAGGACACATGTTAGAGTTCAGCATTATGCAGTAGACAGACCAGTTTAACCTAGGGGTTTCTTTCTTCTACAATCTGCTCTTTAACTGTATTATTTCCTGCTATTTCAGCTGTTAACTTTATTTTTTCTCTAAGTGTTTTTCTCCCCAGAAGAAGCTACAACGATGTTCTGCTGAGCTGTGGTGGCCTCATGGAGGGGGCCATCATCTAGCACACTGCTGCTAACCACTTAATCATTCTCCCTCTCCTGATAATAACATTTTACTTTCTTTGATGTTGGATGTACTACTACTAGTTTACCCGTTTAATTATAGATTCACTAGGATAAATACAATAAAATTTATCTCTCGCCAAATAGAATATTTACTAAGAAATCACAATGTAACGTGTGTGTGTGTGTGTGTGTGTGTGTAAAAGCCATGTGTAGTGTTTATTTATAAAGCATATGTTGTTGGATTTTATCCAGAATCGAGACTTTGAAAATATATAGTTTAATTACAGTTTGATTTATTTGACATCTGTATAATGTTTATTATTTTGTTTTTTCCCCCTAAATACCTAACGTTTTAGTTAACATGAATATTAGTCATTCATCCCAATACATGAAGTTACACATTTTAAATTTTAATAGGGGAAGACTGCAGGAGGGAGCGGTAAAATCATAGACTGTACATACTTGCTACCCGCCGGCTGTGATCACAAGCAACAACATATTAGTTCCCGCTGCTTCTTCGGTAAACAGCGCAAACAAAAACAAAGAAACTTGGGATCTTGTCGGCGTGGCGGTGGGATTTAAGGGAAACGCTGTATGCCCTATAGACTTCTCACCGAGCTGCAGTATTTCTCCGGTCAGATCTGTCTCTGAGAGCTCCACGAGCGGTCAGCCCGCGCAGCAGCTAGGCGCAGCAAGTAGGCGCCGGATCGGTCAGGCTGCCCGGCCTGACCGCTGGGGATTACCGGGTGGAAGAATGGACACAGAAGTCTCCCTCTTAGCGCTCCGTCATATTTCAACCCATTTTGATCTTTTACCATATTACCCATCTAAATATGCCCTATTAATTATTTTACCGTATTTTACATTTAAATTTCATGGTTAAACAGTACATGCTACATGTTAAACTGATAGTTAGCTAGCTACTTCGGTAAACTCAGCTAGTTTAAAGGTGGCAGTGACATAAAATACGAATATACATTTTAACTTACCGAAAAAAATGAAGTGGAGACTCCTTGGACGCTCTATTAGTGCAATTAATACCACTGCAAGTCATTTTGTCCAACAATTGCACCAATAATATCCAAAACAGAATTCACAAGCACAGAGACTCAAAATCCCGAAACAGCTTCCAGGAGGGGCCGAGGCTGTACTGAGGCCTTTCCACGGAGCTAGCTCTGTGGTCACGTGGGTCTGAGGCGGCGGTCACGTGTGTGGGATGCTCATTAATTATACAGAATTTTAGGCTTTCAATACACTTAAACAGAAGAGTGAGAAAAAAATTCACCCCCCTCAGAGTTGTCATGAGTATAAACTAGATAATTTAGACAAAAAACATGTTTTGGCACCAGGCTGTAAACATGTTTATTTCTGCTGTGAAATCGGCATTTTTAACATGGGAGTCAATGAGGATTTGCTCGCTTCTGGCACCAGCCCCCAGCGGATGAGGGTGGAACTGCAATTTTTCTTACTTCCGGGATGGGACCATTTTTAGAGCGGCATTGTGGGGGCTTGGTATCGAACCACTAGCAGCAGCAATTAGGCAAGCAACAGGTATTAAAGGCATTCAATGTAAGAAAATAAAACATAAGATCAGTCTTTATGCAGATGATGTTTTACTCTTTCTCCGAAATTCTCAATCCTCTCTCCCAAGCAATAGAACTGATAAACTCTTTTTCAAGAGTTTCAGATTACTCTATAAACTGGTTAAAATCCAGAGGTCTACCAATTAATTTCTCTTTTGTCAATTTGCTTAATACACAATTAGAGTCAGGGAATATCACATACCTGGGAATTAATGTCTCTCCCAAGCTGGCAGATCTAACCAAACTAAACTACATCCCACTTTTAAAGAAAGTGGAAGATATTCTTGCAAGATGGAAATCCTTACTGATATCACTCATGGGCAGGGTTGCTACAATTAAAATGATGATATTACCCAGAATAAATTACTTAATTTCAATGATCCCAAACAAGCCACCAGCTGACTGGTTTAAATCTCTGGACTCCTCAATCACTAAATTCCTTTGGCAGGATAATCCTCAACGAATAACTTAAAAACGCTTCAGAAGACCAAAGACAGAGGAGGACTGGATCTACCCAACTTTTATTATTAATTCTTAGCCAACAGGCTGCAATATATACCAAGATGGTTGCAAGATAACCCACTAGATGAGTCCTGGTTAGATATTGAACAGACACTTTGCAATACGATAGAGCTTTCAGACTTACCATTTATTAGCTCAAACATAAGAAAACATGAAAGCTTCAAAAGTATTAGTATCCGCACCTCTCTCACAGCATGGTGGGAGTATCTAAAAATCACAGAGTCTTCACTAATACCATGCAGACACACACCTATCTGGAATAATCCTGATATTTTGCAAAAAAAACAAAATGATGCACTTTCCGGACTGGAAAAGTAAAGGAATCCTATACCTGGAACACATATATGAAGGATTGGACTTCATCCCATTTAATAGAATAGTTTCCCAATTTAGAATAGATAAGAAAAGCTTTTTAGAATACCACCAAATTAAATCTGTAGTCAAACAAAAATTTAAGCTTAATAAAATAGAATTACAAACACCACCAAGGGTATTGGACTTCTATAATCTCAACCCCCGCCCCCCCCCCCCCCCCCCCAAACTACTGCCTAAAGTATATAAGACACTGTCCAAAATAGATGATGGAATAGCAATCCCTATTGAAAAATGGGAGGTGGATCTATCAGTCAACTTTGACCAGAACTTCTGGTCCCAAACTTGTTTAAAAACGTTTAAAACAATCAGACACCCCAATTTACAATTAATTCAGTACAAAATTCTACACAGAGTACACTATACAGGTCATTGGATGTTCAAGATGGGGTTTGTGTCATCTGACACCTGTACACATTGCACAAACAACATTCCTGATGATTACATCCACGCACTGTGGTCCTGTCCACCTGTCCGGGATTTTTGGGATAGAGTACGTGAAGACCTTTCAAAGTGTCTGAAATGTCATACTGTATTTCAACTTCCCCCTCTCTTTCTTTACCGGGAAACCTGGACGATGTCCCCATCTAAACATCTTTAGTTCACGTGGTTCTGACTGCCATATGCATCGCTAAGAAAACTATCCTCATGAATTGGAAAAATAGAGATACTCTGCATTAACCCAGGGGTGGGGAACCCTGGTCCATCAAGGGCCATTATCCAGCATATTTTAGTTTCAACCCTGTATCAACACACATGATTTCAATCTGCAGGTGATTAACAGGCTCCTGCAGAGCTTGATGAGCTGCTGAACAGTTGAATCAACCACTGAATCAGAAGTGTTGGAGCAAAGACATGCAGGAAACCGGTCCTCGAGGACCAGGGTTCCCCACTCCTGCATTAACCAGTATAGACATCTTTTGTTAGATCATATTACACTTGATACAGCCTCTGCTTCCACTTCAAATCAATCTCTCTGAGCTCCTTTGATCAGTTCCATCACATAGCGATGATGGGGGACCATTGATATTGTCCTGCGGGATGATGTGGGTGATGAGGTGTAGGGTCTGAATTTGGAGTATCTGAATGTTCCCTGGAGATGGGTTCACTGGGGGTGTCTGGGACTGGGGGGCCTGCTGCCCCCCTCTGGAGGTGCTTGGGTTGCCTCGGGGGGTGGACTACTGGCGGTTGTGAGTGGGGTCCCTTGGGGGTCTTGGCGGTGGCCATGGGTCGCTGTCTTGCAGCTGCATTGCCCCTGAGCGGGTCTGGGTGGGGGCCCGGGGGCTTGGGGTGTGGGGGTGGCCGGCCCCGTCTGGGGATCTGGGTGGGGCCTTGGGGGTCGGGTCCTGACGTGTATGCTGCCGGGAAGAAGGCAGGAACATGTGGAAGTGCCTGGCAAGGGCTCAGGGGCCTCGGGCAGACCATTGCTCCTCTGCTATTCCATCTCTGGGGAGGGGGATATCCAGGAGGGGGAGGACCCAACCTTACCTGGATGTCATAAGTCTTATATATTCTGGAAGTTGTGCAAATGCACACTTGTAAGTCGCTTTGGACAAAAGTGTCTGCTAAATAAATAAACATAAACAAATGCAGGGATGGGAGTAGATATTCTGCTGGGGTGGGGCTGGGTTGGTGCCTTCGGACTCCGTGAGGCTCTGTGATGCTGCTGCTTTGAGCCCTGGCAAGATGGGCTGGGGTCTCCATGCCCTGGGTGGCATTTTGGCAACAGAGGTGCCTATTGGGGCCAGTGGGGGAGCTGGCTTCCTGGAGGGCTTAGGTCCAACCAGCCATTCCTCTCCATCCCCACACATTTTTCTCCTACTGCTCCCTCACATCATCACACAATCATGCACATAGGACCTTTGGGGCTGGACAAGTCAGGGAGTGCGGGTATGGACCCCATTTCCGCATTCCTGTTGCAACCTGCCCCCAATTTTATTTGCACCTTAAACACTTCCACCAACGACATTCCACGCAAACACACACTTAGGGCCTTTGGAGTGAGCACATTCAACTGCATTTGGCAGGGGGATGTTTCAGCCTTATCCCAAGTGCCGGTGCCCTCTTCAAATTTTAAACTGCACTTACACACTGAGGGCTGTGGGTGCAAGTCGGGTGGTATGGTGGCATCAGCTGGCATAGGCCAGACAATGCCCGCACTGCCCGCTCACCACAGCTATGGAATACACCTCATCAACACTCACCAACACTATATTGGAGAAGGCAGAGGGAGACTAGGGGTCTTAGCACACCTCTGTTGTCACTTGGCTTCCCGGGGCTGGACGCTAGGAGGAAGATCTTGCCGTCTGGTTGGGGTCTGGGGTGGTGGGTTGCTGTGCTCAGTGTTGGGCGGGGGAGCCTGCTCATCTGCACCCCAGCAGAAAGGGTCAAACTCAGGGAACCGGTAATGGTTGTACCCCATGTGCAGCAGTACCGGGACCAGAGTGAATAGGTTGTGTATGGGGAGCATGGGTGGGTGTACGGCATGCATTTTTATAAGTCTCTGGTTGTATGTGTATATGTGAGCATGAGGGAGGGAGTCTGTGACTGTGTCTGTGTATGACCGTATATGTCAGGTGGGGCCATTGACTCCTCCCCTCTCCTGGGACTTCTTTTGATGCTATACATCTTCATTTTTGTTTTCGTCATTGTTGCGTGTCCCTTTTCTGCAGGTCTAGAAGCAGACTCTTGTTCATCATTGATTGTTTATTTTCGTGGACCCCCCCCCCCCCCCCCCCCCCCCCACACACACACACACACACACACATACACACATGTCCGGTCGAGATTACAAAGCATTCAAAAACAATAACAATAAAGTTTTAAGTATCAGGCGTGACATTAAAAGCGGATGCTTTGATGCTCCACCTGAGAGTAAAATCTGTAAGGCTTGTCACCAGCATTCAGACATCAATTGTGTTTGCTTCACAGCCAGACGGGACATGAAAAATAAATAAATAAATAAAACTTACAGCCCCACCTATTCACTTGTGTTTTAGGAGGATAAAACCACTGGAACAACCTCATTGTCAAGTGGGTCCTCTTACCTCCCAGTAAATAAAGAACTTAACTGAGCTGAAAGGAAAGTAGGGCTAGGGCAACTGAACAAACAAAATGAAGAAACTGACCTTAAATCTGCATGTTTCAATCCATACAGAGAAATGATCTGCACTCAAACTGTTTTCAAACAAGATGGAAGTGTCAAATAAATCCATTTGAAAATAAATGAAATTTTCTGTCTGAAGACCAACATTGCCTTAATCCAGTCATGTTGCAGTGATGTCATTTCTCCATAAATCCAGCTATAAAGCAACGTTTCTCGGCAAAGCAATGCTGATATCATCTCATTCATCAACAAACCTAGTTGTTTTACGAGAAAAAGAAAATTCAAGATACACCAAGCCATAAATACAACACACACACACACACACACACACACACACACACACACACACACACACACACACACACACACACACACACACACACACACAGCAGCCATTGTGGAGTCTGATGTTCGTCTATCAAAATGAAGAAAAAATGTCTCAGTGCATCCTTTCAGTAAATTTGCCCCAATGTTATTCAGGTCACCGCCTAATGGAGTCAAATGAGGACCCTTAGGCCAAGAGTTGTACTCTGGACACAAACAGCCATGTTTCAGGAGAAAAGTCTTTGTTTTTCACTGCTCGTCTCTTATTTCTTTGCCTCTGGGCTGCAGAGAGACATGTCACTTAGCTGCCTCTTTCCCTGCCATTTCTCTGGTTATTCATGGGCAGGCCATTAAAAAAGGCTGGTGCTTTATGTTTGTGTCAGTTTTATTGGCTGCTGCTCATTCTTTGTTTCCTTTACTGGCTCAACATTCCTCACTTGGAATCTTGCTGCAGGTTTCTGAACTACAATTAAAATAAGATACATATTGTATTCATTTCTTTCATCTCCTTTCCAGGTGTGATGCCGAAAAACTAGTTCATGCATTTATAAGATTTTAAGATCTTCTTTTTCACATATAAAGCTCTTAACAATCAAGCTCCATCATACATCAGTGACCTGATTGTTCCATATGTTCCTAACCGAGCACTTCGCTCTCAGACTGCAGGTTTACTGGTGGTTCCCAGAATATGTAAAAATAGAATGAGAGGCAGATTTTTTAGCTATCAGCCTGCTCTCTTGTGGAACCAGCTCCCTTGTTTTCATAAAATTAATAATGATCTATTAGGAGAGTTGAACACTTCTCAGATCTTTGATTCAGCTTACAATTTCAGATTTTTTTTTGCTGACAAACAGGAATATGATTGAGTCTTGGTCCCAACTTTATAGCAATAACCTCATACAAAATCAGATAATATAAGAATAATAAATATGCATAACCAATAGAAAAAAAAACAATCAGAATGGCAAAGTGAGGACATATCTGAGGTATAACATTGCATTTTTATGTAAAAGCTCAGAATTAGCTGTCATATTAGAGCCACTCATCAAAAATACTCACCTGAGGTGATTCAGGCATCTGACTAGGATGCTTCTTGGTTTCTTCTGTTTTGAGATTTTCCAGGCACATGCCTCTGGGAAGAGACCCAAAGGAGACACAGCCTATCTGGCCTGGGAACATCTTGGGATCCCCCAAGTGGAGCTGGAACAGATATTTGGTAGAGACATTTGTCTGAGTTTAATTCTGGGATCTGTTACCATGACCTGACTTTGGAAAAATAGATATTGGTGTGTGTGTGTGTGTGTGTGTGTGTGTGTGTGTGTTTGTGTGTGTGTGTGTGTGTGTGTGTGTGTGTGTGTGTGTGTGTGTGTGTGTGTGTGTGTGTGTGTGTGTGTGTGTGTATGGATGGATGGATGGATGGAAACTCAGGTAATGCTTCTTTTCATGATGGGAAAACACTGAGATGGTAAATTGATCTATTTCCCTTTAATACTGAATAATAAAATAGCTAAATGCTTCTGTATTAAAACAGCATTCATTTCTAAGCTGTTTTAGCTATTTTTCCCTTGTATTTATTAACAATGTCACCCACTGCCACCTTTGACTGATTTCCTGCAAAGTAATTAGCACATACTTGGTCCCACCACTCCACCTGACAGCATTTCCACTTTTCCAAATAAGAGTGCTCTGTGAGCATCGCTGCTGCGTAGGCCACCTACTGGTTCTAACTGTGCATCCCATCAGGAAACAAACTCTTCCAGTTAGCGTGGAAGGCATGGCTTACTTCAACTGTCCACCCACCAAAACTCATCATCTTAATTGTCCCTTCTGTTGATGTAAAACTCAATAAGGGTGGCAAAGACAGTTATGAATTGAATTTGAATAGATGCTTCTCCCTGGGTGTATACAATAATGACAGCTGGGTGAAGGCTGATGTACTGTATTAGACGTGTGTGTGTGTGTGTGTGTGTGTGTGTGTGTGTGTGTGTGTGTGTGCGCGTGTGTGTGCGCGTGTGCATCCCATCTGTAACAAATTGCATTTGTACCATCCCAGTCAAAGATTTCTGATTCATGCTGTAAAATGGAAGAAAAAAGTGTCATGGTTCTGCCTTCTCTCTGCTGCTGGTTGTTCTTCTCCTTCAATGTTTGCAGGTGAGCGTGTTGGGGAGCCGCAGCTGCAGCTAATTACCATCAGCCTAGCCACAATTCATCGCCGGTTGATACTCTACTTTTGGTACATCTAGCCACGTCCTGACCTGTGCCGTTGCTCTGAATAACTATTTACCTGTACTCATCCTGCTCTGTTATGTCGTCAGTACCAGCCCTGGATCTTCTCCACCTGCCTGAGGTGTGCCTTATTCCACTAGCCAGCTCAAAAATAACCAATCAGAAAAAAGACGGAAATGCCGACTGTACCGCACGACGCTATATTTTTTTTAGCTGTAGTCAAAAAAGGTGTCTGGCAAACAACTTTTTTTTTCTTTTTTTTTTTTAGAAGAAACGCTTTAAGTGCTTCTATTGGTTGTTTTAAAGACATTCAAGTCATTTAGAACAGAGGAAGGAGCCGCAGTGAACTCCACGGCTGTCTTCGTTGTTTATGAGAAACTGAGCATCGCAGTGTGTGACGTCTGAGACGCTGTAGTTTTTTAGCTGTAGTCAAAAATGGCGACTGGCGACAGAGCAAACATCTTTCTTTAGAAGAAAGGCTTTTAGTGCTTCTACTTGTTGTTTTAAAGCAACACATTCTCACACCCTAAGCGTTGAAAAATGATGCGGTGTGACCAAGCGTTTGTTTCCGACGCGTTGGGAGCCCCTGCGCGTCGGGAGGCGACGCACTGTGCCAGAGCGTTGGTATCTGATGCCCGTGGTAAAAAGGACAATTGACCAGATTTTGACCTTTACCCTTTTGCTATTTAACCTTCCCCTCACCCCATCCTAATCTTAACAGCTTGTGCATGCAAAGCTTTTTTTTGCATTTCATCGTTCCTCTCAAACACGCTTTACGGACATTTTAGACTGACATACTGGGTTAAGGTTAGGATGGGGGAGAGGGGAAAGTTAAATCGCTAGAGGTTGGAGGTGAAATGTCGGAAACCGATGCTCTGGCCCAGTGCGTCACCTCCCGATACACAGGGGCTCCCAACGCATCGAAAACAAACAAATTGTTTGATGCTTAGGGTGTGAGAATGTGTTGTTTAAATACGTGTCCAAGTCAATTTGAACAGAGGAAAGAGCTGCGGTGAACTCCGCTTCAGTCGCCATGTTCATGACAAACTCGGCGTTGTGGTGTGTGACGTACACTACTCAGTGCTGATTGGCTCGGTCAGAATTCTCAGGGGGTGGGGTTATTTGAATAGGAGAGTTCCCAGACCCTTTCTCTGTGCAGAATTAAAAAGAGGAGGAGTCTGGCAGGCCAGGCTAACTAAATTCAGCAACAACATAAATGTGGTTTTATTCTAGAACCCCTTTAAAACTAACTTCCTAGTTGTCCACCATAGTACAATGTGGTGTCTCTTTATCCTCATGTGTCTACATTCCTTCTCAATGCATGCATGGTTATCTCCTGTCTCATGTATCAGGTATCATGTTATGACATCAAGACTTAAATGTTCAAATCATTTTCATCTTCTTACAATATGATTTTTATATAGTAATAACTTGATAATGTACCAATGTGATGTATATTCCATCCATCCAGCCATCCATTTTCATCCGCTTATCCGGAGTCAGGTCGTGGGGGCAGTAGCCTAAGTCGAGAGGCCCAGACTTCCCTCTCCCCAGCCACTTGGGCCAGCTTCTCCGGGGGAATCCCAAGGCGTTCCCTGGCCAGGTGAGAGACATAGTCCCTCCAACATGTCCTGGGTCTACCTTTAGGCCTCCTCCCGGTTGGACGTGCCCAGAAAACCTCACCAGGGAGGCGTCCAGGAGGCATCCTGACCAGATGCCCTTTTCGGAAAAAACTCATTTCGGCCGCTTGTATCCGCGATCTTGTTCTTTCAGTCACTACCCAAAGCTCATGACCATAGGTAAGGGTAGGAACGTAGATCGTCTGGTAATTTAAGAGGTTCGCCTTCTGACTCCGTTCTATCTTCCCCACGACAGACCGGTACAACGCCTACATCACTGCAGATGCAGCATCAATCCACCTATCAATCTCACGTTCCAGTTTTCCCTCACTCATGAACAAAGACCCCAAGAAACTTAAGCTCCTCCACTTGGGGCAGGACCTCATCCCTGACCCGGAGAAGGCATTCTACCCTTTTCTGAATCAAGACCATGGTCTCAGATTTAGAGGAGATGATTCTCATCCCAGCTGCTTCACACTCGGCTGCAAACTGCTCCAGCGAAAGCTGAAGATCACGTTCTGTTGAAGCCAACAGGACCACATCATCTGCAAAAATCAGAGACCTGATCCTCAGGCCATCAAAACGGATGGCCTCCACACCTTGGCAGCGCCTAGAAATCCTGTCCATAAAGGTTATGAACAGAATTGGTGACAAAGGGCAGCCTTGGCGGAGTCCAACTTTCACTGGGAACGAGCCCGACTTACTGCCGATTATGCGGACCAAGCTCTGACACCAGTCATACAGGGACCTAACAGCCCGTATCAGAGGGCCTGGTACCCCATACTCCCTGAGTACCCCCCACAGAGTCCCCCGAGGGACGCGGTAAAACGCCTAAGGGTATAGAGCTGGCCCAGCGTTCCACGGCCAGGACGAAAACCACATTGCTCCTCCTGAATCTGAGGTTCAACTATCCAGAACCCCTGATTAGACCATACCAGGAAGGCTCAGGAGTATGATCCCCCTGTAGTTGGAACACACCCTGCGGTCCCCCCTTTTAAATAAGGGAACCACCACCCCAGTCTGCCAGTCCAACGGGACTGCCCCCAATGTCCATGCGATATTGCAGAGCCACGTCAGCCAACACAGCCCCACAACATCCAGAGCCTTAAGGAACTCCAGGCGGATCTCATCCACTCCTGGAGCCTTGTCACAGAGGAGCTTTTCAACCACCTCAGTGACCTCAGCACCAGAGATTTGAGAGGCCAACTCAAAGTCCCCAGACTCTGCTTCCTCACTGGAAGACGTGTCAGTGGGATTGAGGAGGTCTTCAAAGTATTCTGCCCACCGATCCACAACGTGCTGAGTAGAGGTCAGCAGCACACCGTCCCCACAATAGATAGTGTTGGTATCCATGCCTATTGGTGTATAATTATGTGTGTATTATAGTTTCAGGATATAAAATAATTTATTATTGAACCAAACTTAAATTTTTTCTGCCATAAATAAACCTAAAGTAATTCATATTCAGGGGACCCACATGCAGTTTTTGTGCCTGCACAGGTCTCACATTTTCTCCTTTCCTTTTCACTGTCACTCTTCATTAAGTGTAGGCTCAGCGTTGGCGGTGTGTCTCGCAGCACGGGGTTAATGTAGAGAATATGCCGCCTAGGGAGGCTAATGCTTGACACTAGTGGGTTCTCTGCACCTCTTGTATCCCACTGTGTCACCCGCATGCACGCTCCTGCTACCCGCGCTCGGCTAAGTGCTCCTCTTAATCTGCTTACAAAGCTTTCCTAAACATTAGGCATATTACCATAAAAAATTAATTTACCTGCCAAAGTGAAATGGCAAACGCTGCTGGACTCCGTTTGGCTGTTTGGATCCCACTGACAGGAAGAATGCTTTTTATTTGGACAGTTTTTGCCTTTCAAATGAATGCCAAAAGACCTGGCCAGATGTCTTTCATTGTGTCAGGAGGCCCACAGGGAGGGATAGTTTGAGAGCGATAGTCCTTTTTTTGTGTGCTTTAAAATTCAATTTACACTATTTATACACACACACACACACACACACACACACACACACACAGAGGGAATGAATGCATGGAAAATCAGTCTTGGCATTTATTTCTTGCATGTCTGAGAACGACATATTTTTATTTCAGTGACAATGCTTCAGGTACTCAAATGTTCATTTGAATGACAATACACAGAGACATTCCCCATGTGTGCAAATGAAATACCAATCATCTCTATTGTATTATGTAAAGAGTAAAAATACTAAACCCAGTCAAATCAAACCCATCTATCTTCGGCCATTTCTTTGACACTTGACCAGAATCTCACCGGGCTGAAACCAGTGGTGACAAACTGCAAAATGCATTTTTAAGGGATTTTCTTAAAAAAAAAAAAAAAAAAAAAACCTCTTTCAACAGTCACAAGGATTCTCAATTCTTGTGCATGAGTTGTAGCGTGTTGCAACCATTCCACTTGAATGTTGATTATTTCCAAGGACAGGTGTCCTCTCAAAGTGGTCTCAAACTCCTCTAAATGACCTCTGGATTCATTGTCCTTAGTCAGGAGTCTGAGATATGTTGGATAATCATGGGAGGGGTTGGCAACCAAAATCACAATAAAATAAAATAAAATGAGATGAAACTAGGGCCATCTGTGACTGCATTGCAACAAAAAGGTAGCTCAGTAATAGGATGACCGTTTTTACAGTCCCATGGGGCCCAGTCCTACACCATCACTTGGTCACCTGGGGATTTCCTTTTCCTAAGAAAACAATTTAATGCAATTGACAAATAATTTAAAAACACAAGATTATTTTAAGACAGTTCAAAATTGTTGCATCATTAGCAACTGGCTGTCCTCTGCATCAATCTCTTTGTATGGCCGCTTTGCATTTTGTAAAACAAATTGATATACAGTGAGCATGGAAAATATTCACACCCCTGTCAAGTTTTCACTCTGTTATATTGCAGCCATTTGCTAAAATCAATTAGCGTAAATCCTCTAATATTAGCCTGTATTTAATTAACTGCCGGGTATCATATTTTGGCCGGTGTCGGAGTCGGCGGAGGGGAACAATGGCCGTTTTTTTTATTGTGGCCGGGTGGAATGTGGTAACAAGCAAGTACGGGGGCGGTTGTGTCATCCGTCTCACTTTTGATTCGCCAGTGATAGACCGCGAGGGTAACTTTAACCGTGCAGAGATGAAGAGGATGCGAAAATTTGATACCGAGTTCAAAGAGAACGTGCTGATTATGCTGCAGAACACTCTGGGGAGCAGTAGCAGGGGCTGTATGAACTAGTCACTAGTCGACTTCACCGCTCTATAGTGACTTTTTATGCCTGTCATCGACTAGTCGCTGTCACGTGATAATGACCGGCAAGATGCAGTCCTCGGAAAAGACAGCAGCCTGCTGTCAGGAGGTGACGAGCTCCTGCGCGTCGGGAGGCAACGCGCTGTGCCAGAGCATCGGTACTGATACCCGCCCTAAAACTGACATTTAACCAAATTGTGACATTTACCCTCTTGCAATTTAACCTTCCCCTCACCCCCATCCTAACCTTAACCAGCTTTCACATGCAAAGCTCTGATTGTTGACGCGCTCCAGACATCTGCATCCTGAGCACGGCCACAAAAATATTATCAAATCAGGTGTCACCACCTCAAAAACTAATTTAACACGTGATCGTTCATGTCGGCTCATTTCCTTTTATGTTTTCTGTCTTTTATTCTTTTATTTGTGCCTGATGCTTTTCACTGCTCTGGATCAGGGCGCATCACCTGTTTTGCCCTCGGTGACGCACCTAACTGATGTGGCCGGCGAGCACTCCACTGTTTTTGCGGTCGGTAGATCTTTTAGAAATGCAGTTCAAAGGTAACGGTAAAGGTAAAGGTAGTGAATATATATGAACCCAGGTAGCAGTTTTTCTTTAGGATTGAGAGGAGATGCAGGAAGATAAACAGACAGGACAGAAAAATAGTCAAATAAAAACAAGTTAGTTTTTGTACCTGCTGGTTGCAACAAACAGACACCATTGAAGGTAATCAGAAGTGAGGAACAGAAAATGAAATAATTATTTCAATGTTTAGAGCAGCAGGAACTCCGAGAGGCTGCAGGCGCATCAGTGAGTTTGCGGCCGCTGCGCGGGGGTAGGGGTGGGGGAGGGCTGAAGCAGAAACTACTGTTGTTAAAAGAAATGTGTTTAACTTTGAAAATGTGGGCTCAATTTTAATTGTCAAAAACTCCAGCGAACCATTACTTCATTTTGCTCAAATAGAAATTGAGGCCTGCCTCTAATTCTGGTCCTCCTTCCAATTAAGGCCTGGAGCTTGATGAGCTTGAGTCAAATACAGGCCCGGGCCTGTATTAGAGGATTTGCGATAAATTCAAATTTTCCTCATTGATGTACACACAGTGTCCCATAGTGACAGAAAAACACAGATTTTTAGACATTTCTGCAGATTTATATTTTTTAAAGCTGAAATATAACATGGCCCTAAGAATTCAGACACTCATATATTTAATGAGGAAAAATGCATTAAATTTATTTTAGCAAATGGCTGCAATATAACAGAGGTCTGAATACTTTCTGTACCCACTGTATTTTCTTTTTCAGTTTTTTGCAGTGTCATCGTCTGACTAAAAATTGTCATTTGTACGGAGTGGAAGACACCTGAACCCTTTACAGGCACCCAATAAATACATAAAAAAGATTAGATAAAAATAGATTTGTTTTTAGGAAAATGTCAATAAAACAATTATTTAATTATTGAAAACCTTTATTTGATACACAGAAAAAATATTTACAATGTCACTACTGTAATCAAACATATCATTTACACTTATCTACTGCAGTACTTAGATACTCTAGAGGGGGGTAGAAGACATGTACATAATCTAATATAGCAAAGGTTTTAGGTATAAACTAATCAGCAGTCCCCCAGCCTACCCTGTGATCATGACTTGTTCTGCAACATTTGCATCCTACAAAACCGTAGTGGTCCAACACACACCTCCAGATTTTGTCAGCAGTATTTATATAATGATCAGTCAGAATTGTGACTATAATTGAGCAGCCAGCACAATCTCCAGATCTAAATCCAGCTGAGCTTTTGTGAGACTCCATCAAATGTACCCGTCAGAAGCATGATGGACTGGTCGCAAACATCACATCAAGAAAATACGTAAAGTTTACTTAATTAAAATATGGATATTTTGTTAAAAGCACACCTTTATGTTTGGCTTGACTTTAGCACCCCCTAGTGTCTGTTTAGTAAAACTAAAAGCAAAACTTATCTCCTCGCTGTATGTTCGTCTTTTTAACACCTTAATATAACTGCAGAAATGTCTCCCCAGCCTCCATTAGTGTCTACAGGAGTGTTTCATTACTAAATTAAACAAATCAACTGTGTTCATGAACTAAAATGTTCAGGAAATGTGGTGTGAGCCGGCTGCAGCGCCAGGTATGTCAACTCAATTTCCACAAGGTGGTGGCTCGCTACTTTGAAGTTGCAAATATGATGTTCTGGGCACAGAGGGTGGTAGGGGTCTGAGTGACATCCCATTAACTCGTTCGCTGCCAGCCATTTCCTGATCGGTAAACCCCTTCGCTGCCAGCATTTCTCGCCATTTTTACTGTTTTTTTAAGAGTCACAGAACGCTGCGCGCTAGGATGATGTCGACGCCAAAACAACCAAAACAAAGCAGAGACTCACCTCTTACATCAGGAAGAATCCCCGTGTTTCGAGCTTTATCCTTTCATAATCCGTTGTTGAATTGTGATCGGCAGAAGCTTTTCCGGTTCGCGCCTCACTTTTTTTTTACAGCAGCGGCCCAAAACGATCTCCTAACACATGGATGTTCTGCTTCCTGATCACGTGACTTGTGACGTATGCATATGAAGATCGGCTTTAGAGCTGAGATGTTAGTTCTCACGGTGCGGGGGCTCGTCCAACGCCCACACAGTGAAAAAAAATGAATGAACTCATTGAATGAGTTAACCCTTTAAAGGGTCGTTTTTACACATTCTGGTTCATATGTACTAAAATGAAATATGAAAAAGTTACATAGCATCCCTTTAAAAGCAACATTATTTCCCATTAAATACCTAATTTCTACTTTTGATGAGGTCTTTGCTTGATTTAGTATTCAGACCCATTTAATTTCTATAGCCAAGAAAAATTCCAAAAGATTCCCACTTTTTTTATTAGTAACATGCATAAAAATGTACAAAAATATCATGCATTCTTGTTAAGTTTCCACTGGAAAGTTTGCATATTTTCCTGCATTTTGTTGTCTCTAAAGACAGACACTAGCTCTAGGAAAACAAAGTTTTTACTTCGTATTCTGGGACAAAACCAAATGGTTTAGTCTCTCTTTCTCATGTCTCTTTCACACTTCTCGTATCTAATGCATTCCTCCTGTTTTTAAACCTGTCTGTGTAATTTAAAACGTGTGTTTTGTTATTTTTACATTAATGTAATATGCTGCAGCATGTCTACAGAGAATTGCTAGTGTTTGGCTTAGACCTGCTTACATAAAAGGATTAGTATGATCAGCGTCAATCTCCAGAAGAAATGATTTATATTGCCTAAGGTGTACTTATTCTTCTGAGACAAAAGACAAGTCATGATTAATTAGTTACAAAACATTTCTTTATTGATTGTTATATACTCAGAGTCTGCAGGAAAAGAGAAACTAATTGAATTTAGAATATGTGTTTATTCTGACGTAAGAATTTAGGTGGCATCCTTGTGATTGTACTCATGCACAGTCAATTTCTTTCTCTGCTCAGTGAACCAAGCCTCATATCTCACCAGGGAAATACGTCCCGTTATTGCTTTGGATAAATAAATAAATTCAATTACCTCCTATGCATCGACGAACGTGGCTCAGCTTTGCCCATTTCAAAGTGATTAATGTTGCAGTGGAGAGCGGTAACAAAAACATGG